GGCTCCCTGATGAATTTATATGTATTTATATTTTCGAAATAAAAGTAGAAATTATATAAAATGAACGTTACAAATATATCAACAACAAAAAAAAAGGAACTTCACGCTTGATTTATTTAAGTTAGCTATTTAATCTATAATCTCGCAAAAGCTTAAACAAACATATTGATGTGATAATATTTAAAAAAAATAAACTAATCAATGTAAAGAAACTTTGATGCGGAACAAATTTGTGTGGCTAAAATCTGTGTTATCTATCATGAATAGACTATATGAACTGTTTCAAGGCACTTATGTAAGTTATCAAAGAGGAGAATGTCACTTAAGTTTGTAAACATTCCATTAGAATGGCTTTCTCGAGAGGGTATTCTTCAACAAAGGCTCAAAATTTTAATAGCTCAGGGAATTTAACGCGACTATTTAAACGTCGAAATATTTATCTTAAAATAAAACATTTTTTACCTTCAAGTGTATCACAATTCCCCTGAGTCCTTCTTGGGTATCGACAGTCCATTCTTCTTCTACAGTTAATGCAGTGTCTGTCGACAGTTGGGGAAATAAATGGCTCTCAGATTTCCTCTCCACGTCTTCTGCCGCTTCGAATAACTCGAAAAGGAAGATTTGTAGTTTGAAGACGTTTCGGAAAAGAAGGAAGGGAATAAAGTCAGTCTATGCCTGGCGAAATCTAAAAGAACATATTCAAGTGGTTGGTCTATATCCCAACTATCCGTTTGGGATTTTTCTGGAGATTATTATTCCGGATTGACTTTTTTCTTCTTTTATCAGAACCAGAGCAATCTTTGTCTACATTTTATTTATGTAATACATAGTTCTCTGTTATTTGCATGTTTAACAGAATATTGTTGTGCATTCAGCATGACTTAAAGGAATGAAATATTGTAAAAATTTAAGAAGGAATCTAAGCGAAATTTATTTTTGAAGCTAAATTATGCTAAATTAAAAAAATATCTGCATTTCCTTTTTTTCACATTGAAATATAAATTTAAAAAAATACTAACTCTTGAGCATTTAAGAAATACTAATGCATGGTCGAAACCTGAGGGAGTTTTCAAATTAGCAACTAATTTAATAGCATGCATTTTTATTTAAATCTAATTTAAGACAAAATTTTCAATTTTTCTTATGAATAAGTATGCAGTATGTATAGATAATATTTTATGCATAAATTTTGACTCCGCATTCTAAGAACATGAATTTCTCAAAGGTTTAGTGTATTAATGACGGGACATGTTTTAAATAAAACGTGTCCCGTCAGAATACGGGACATGTTTTATTTAAGTTATTTAGAAAAGTTATTTTTTATTTAAAACAGAACATGTTTTAAATAAAAAATAACTTTTTAAATACGTTACATATTGCTTGTACTTCAATTTTTCCTTCTCTGTCGAGAATAAGGTGTATATATATATATAATATATGTATATATATATATACAGCACGATGCAGCACGATTGCGGTAACGAACAGGCTGTATCAATCGACTAGCAACTAGGTGGTTTTTATGCCTCCACTGAGAATCTAACCCCAGTCTTTCTCAATTACAGCTCAGAGCTTTTCACCAATGAGCCATCACGAATCCTTCCCACATAACAATTTTTTTTTTTTTATGCAACAGATAATTAAACAAGTATAGAAACACATCGTTGTTCATGAAACAACGATGGCACTTATATGTTTAATATTTTACATAGTTGATAAAATAAAAGTAATAACAATTATTTTTGGTTCAAAATCTACGACAGCACACTTTCCTTTTCAAACTCAAATTTATAATTGTTTTAACTCCTTTTTGACCAAATTTATGCGACCGTTAAACTCAGTTTTTACATCTAAGATTGTGCAGAGTAAGTAAAGTCCTATCAATTAAATACGTATAAAATTCCTCAACATTATACAAATGTCATTTACGTTTAAAAACAAAACTTCAAAACGGAAAATGACAAGTTTCACAGTTGGAAGACTTCACCTAATTTCTTTTTTCAGAAAAAAACTATTTTCCTTACTTTTGCACACCGAAAATGGTGTCAGAACGGCTGCTCTCTAATTATGATAAATTGTTGTTTTTGCCAGCTTTTTAAGCTTTATAATCAATTTAGATGTAGCAAAAACTCAACATCTGGCTTTACACACGACTTGTTAAATTATCTCAACCACGCAATAATTCTGTCAGTTTTAAGTAACTTCCACCTGAGCTAATTCATTTCCACTATGTACAGTAATTTTAATCTGAGCAAAAAGCCCTTTGGAAAGTCACCTATGTCAGAGTGTAATTCCTTGTGGCTACGACCATTAATAAAGTTTTTTTGCTTCTTATAAGTGTGTTTAACATCACGTAAAAGACTAATATTAAGTGACTAGTTTTAAAAATTATTATTTTTTAAACCTTATTTACTGAAAAGTAGTTCGCAAATGACTTTCAGCATTCTAGTGTAATATCTCTCAAAAATTATATTAATGCTTAGAGTTGTGAATATTTAATTAAGTTGTATTTAGTTCAACTGACAAACTTTCAAAAGTTATTTGCATAAATCAATACATATATGCACGAAATGTTATTCTTTGTTATACACATTCAAGTTTATTGATTGAATTCAAACTTCATATCGCAGGGTACAGCAAAAAAAGTTATATAAATGCATATTCGTATGTCAATAATTGTTATATTAAAATGAAAATTTTCTGGAATGTTATGTTTTGTTTAAAAAAAATTCTAAGTTAACTATGTTATTTTATCGTTTAATTCAAACTTAGATTAATTCCAGACATAAAATGAAATCTATGAAAATCAGGTAAACTTTCAGCCATAATACTTACACCTTGCAGTACAATACCGGGCAAGTTTTCTGCAATGTTAATAACATCTAAATTGAATCATGCTTCCGTTTCAATTGAATAATTGTATTGTGTAATCAAATCTAATTTTCCATAAATTTTAACCACCTGTCTTTTGATTTATCTTTTTAGATGTTTGGGTACTTTGGCTCATTTCATAATTAATTTCAATTCAAGTTAAAAATTTCTGGTTTAAAATTTTTTCAGACAGTGGGCTGTGTCCTTATTTAGCGGGTGGTTGATGTTCGACTTCTGTCGGCTTGTTTTCATCCAGGTCATTTGCCGATGATAAGAGCCACCACCCCCTTAATTTGATTTTAATTGCCCCAGGTATTTTTTTTTCTAATGGCAGGCACTGAAATTTTACGTTCTTTGCCAAAGAAGATGCCGGAAGTAATACTCATTTAACATTACCCAGTGTGAACTTAAGTCACGGAGGCGAGGAACGTTTCCCACAACACACTGCCACTGATACCCGTTTATAGGGTTTGCCACATTCACGCATCACACAACGGAGAACAACGCACAGAGAGAAATATCCATACCCTCAGCGGGATTCGAATCCGCAGCCATTGGCTTCACAGTCAGGCACGCTAGCCGCTAGACCGTATTCTTTTGCCCTTCAATTCAATTTGTAGTGCTCAACATCATGCTGGACTTCATGCATACGAATTCTGAAAATAATTGGTGCTCTTAAATTTTTGGCCAGTGCCCTGTGTGTGCTTTTCTTTATAGAGAATTTAACTTATAGACATTAAGGGCGTAGAGTGCATGAAACCATAACTTAAACTAAGAATTACTTTTCTCAATAGTATGGTTCTCAATAGCCAGTGTAAAAATACTGGCAGCAAAAACAGTCACGAGGTGTCAGGACTCCAAACAAACCATTGCTGCAGCATAAAAACATACTCTGGCCTCATCCCTGACCAGCAAGCACTTGGCAGGCAGTCAGTCAACACAAGCTGTTGTCCGTGAGGCTAACAATAATAATAATAATAATAATAAAATAATAATAAAAAAAATATAAAAAAATAAAATAAAAAAATAAAAAAACCTACAAGATAGATCTACACAAACAAGAGATGGCCTAACTGTCTATAAACGCACACACAATAATACACTTATCTATATCATGATCCACCAAAACACTGCCTCAACTACTACTACTCATAATAAAAATAGGCAAAACACACAACACAACATAAACAAAACATACGTATCACACAATCAGCCACGGACTGGCTCACAATAGCAGCCAACGTGACTGATCACCAAGCACGCCACACCACTGACCCTGCTCCCAGTCCCCGGGGACAGACAGTGAGTCCGGAGCTTTTCAGCTACCCGTGATAGCCATTTATGTTAAATGTAAAAAAAAAATAATAATAATAATAATAATAATAAAAAATAAATAAAAAATAAATAAATAAAAAAAATAAATAAATAATAATAAATAAAAAAATACCTGTGACGTGACTAGCGATTTTATATTGTATTGTTATTGTCCATGTCCATCCTTTGAGTCTGTAATGTAACGCTGCTAGTTTATCTATGTAAAATTAAATTGTCGCTACTAGGCCGGGATAGCCTGGTCAGTGGGGTGCCGGGCCCATGTCCAAGAGTTCGTGGGCTCGGTCCCCGCCGATCGAAGACTCCCCGTGTAGTAAATGGTGACTGATGCACGTTAAATCTGTCGAGTCTCAAAGTCCTCCATGTTCCCATAACAAATCAATACCTCTGGGGGTACCGATCCAGGAGTTTCCTTGTCTTCTGGATTGGTTCAAAATTACAAGGCTACGGCGTTGAACATTAGTGGTCGTAAACCCAAAAATTGGGTCGACTGCTCAACGGCGGTCATGAAATAAAATAAAATAGCATGGTTCAAATTGACCCCATACTGAAGTTTTCACGCAATCGAACTATATTATTCTTCAGCACAATCCGAAATTGCTTCACTAAACAACATCCTCGTTTTATGATCAGAACAATTAAGAAAGTGATGGTTCTATAAGTATAAGTAATACTTTCACATACTCTCTATTGTGGAAAGTTAACTTAAATTGCGATTATCATTTGTTCAATTAAGAAATTGATTTCAATTAACAAAAGGTGTGATAAAAGAATGCAACAATTACTGTATTTTCTAGCGCCTCCCAGATGGACAACGGAACCTCCTCACACTGAAGCAGTTCTAGGATCAGACGTCATACTCAACTGTGTCGCAGATGGATTTCCTAAACCTCAAATACTTTGGAAGAGAGCAGAAGGTAATCATTGTAAGAATTTCTGCCAAGTTGGTGTTCATTGTGCACCTACTTATATTTTCTAATCATATATTCTTTTAAAATAATTTAGTAGTTGACCTTCTAATTGTATTGGTAATCGTATTTTTTATTAATCCGAGATATATACAGTACTGGTTAAAAGTTTAGTCTCATTCTTCATTTTTTTTCAAATTCAACAAAATAACTTTAAAAAATATAGGTAATTTTATGTGGTAAGAACTATAATTGTATTTATAACTCTTGAGTTTCGACCAATATTGGATTCGAATTATTCTGCTTTATCTTTAATCAAATCAGTGCATATTTTTGGTATTTTTTCCTATTAATTTTTGTAATGCTCTAGTTGAGATCTGGTTCCAGAAACTATGCGGAGATCCCCAAAATTTGTTTTGATCGGTACATTGCATTTTTCGAAAATTTCTATCGTGGTGTTCGTCCCACAACTGTTCAATTAAGATAGGGGTATAGAGAGTGTCAATCCCTGTATTTCAATATTTTTTTGTTTTCTTTTAAAGAAATGTAGTTTTTACACAATTTCGAAGAATTTTTGGGATCATTATATTGCTGAAAAGCAAATCCTTTACCATAGTTTCTCTGTCCACCAAGAAAAGCGTACTCTGCAATATTCTATGATCTATTTTTTTATCAATTATTCCCTCGATTATTGTAAGATCTCCAATTTTCTCATAAACAAAACATCCCCAATCTGTGACTGAACAACATGCTTGGCGGTTGGTAATATACATTAAATTGGCATACGTTGATTAACTAAATGACGAACATATTGCCCTCATTTGTTTTCAAACAACTCAAATTTTGACTCCTCAGTAAACAAAGCGGTTGGCCAGTAATTTAAAAATAAGTTACCATGTTCAGTCAATTGCAGTTTTTTACTATGTTTATTTCTTTTACAAAAATTTTCTAGCAGCTGCACAATATTTTAAACCATAGTCACGAAGTCGATGTTGTACAGTAGTAACTGTTGTAGTTTTTTGTTTAGTAACATTCAATTCCTAGAGGATTTCTGCAGCTTAACGAGTTCTCCTGACGCTTACTTTGAATGCAGATGAACTTATCCTCACGTTTGGATGTCCTTCTGCGCTTTCCTGATCACTGAAGGGCTCTTATTTTGGTTAGTTTCTTTCTTCCTATTCAAAGTTCTAACAACAGTAGTCTCGAAAACGTTGAATTTAGAGACAATTTATCTACTTGAATAGCCTTTTCTATGAAGTACAACAAAAACTGCACTTGCTTTGTTTCTTATTTCTATATACCAGCTTTTTTTTGCAAATTAACGCTTATACAAATATTAAATGTATATGAATTTCATTTAAGTTTCTAATAAACTAATAATTAAATAAATTTGGTAAATAAATTACTTTTTTTAAAATAGTTATTTGCCAGAGCACTTTTGTTTAAGTAATCAAATTCAAAATAAATACATAATGAAAAATTTTTATAGTTATAAGGGAAACAGTGTTGTACGAAGTTTGGTAATATTTGTGCTTGATAAATTTTACGTATACGTCAGTAATATTTTAATGTTTTTGAATGAATCCAAATGAGTCGAAGCTTTTTACCGGAACTTCTATTTATATCAGCAATTGTATCTTTTCTTTATTCCGAGATATATTATTACAGCCTAAAAAAATATTATAAATGATCGAACTAGGTTTTTACTCGGAATCTCTTGTGGACCCAAATTCACGTTTCGTGTAATTTATTTTTTAAATTTTACTTTTATTTTGATTTTCATTTTTTATTTCTCGATACATTTATATTTTTGTTTAGTTACTATGAATAATGATTTTTTCTCGAAATAATTAAAAATACAGTTACCAATGGAGATTACGAAGATCAACTCAATGAAATCTATATATATANTGTATATATGTATATTATATGTATATATGTATATTAATATATATATATATATATATATATTATATTGTAGAAATGTTAATAGGAAATTGAGTTGGGGTGATTGGGGATTGTGTGAATGTTAAATTAGAGTATGTGTGTGATGATTAATTTAGATATCTGTTAACACAATAACGATTTGATTAAACTATATTTACTTTAACTCTTTAAGTAAAAAGTTATGTCTAAACTTATTTTCTAATTATTAAAATTACTAAATGAAAGTCTTAGTTTACAAATCATTCCAGATTTTTTTGTTAACGATTTCCCCCAAATCTTGATTTTTCGAAAGCGTAGTAAAGAGATTTGATGTGTAGAAATAATCACTTGGTAAATGGTTGGACTTATAAGGAATCCTTACTAGTTTGTTCGAGTTATGTTAAGTATGAAATTTGACGTAATATCTCGTTTGCTATGCAATTTTATTTTTAATGCTGTAGCTCTCTTTTCTCAAACTGTGGTTGAGGGGAAATCTCTTTGTGTTACATAGCGAGAATTGGTCTTCTTTTAAGATAAAAAAATAGTTATTATATTTATTGCAAGAATTTAGAGAGGCTAATCTAAAATTTACTTTATAAATAACTAAACTTTACTTCCGAAAGAACTGATTTTGCTAAAATTATGTAAACGTCATAATCCTAAAAAATATATTATTCAATTTAAAGAGAGAAAAAATTACATTAAATTTCATACATTTATTATTTGGGAGCTTGAATAAAATTAAAATTTAATAATAATATGAACGGCAACAAATCATGACGATAAATGCAATGATACGATATTTTAACGAAATTATAACAGTATAACTTCAAAATATAAAGTTCATATTTTTTTAACTTCATCTGTGATGAGAACAATTTAGTGGTTTCTGCAAAGTAAGTTACCGAATCTAATGCCCTATTTTCATGAAACATTTAAATTCATTAATTAATAAGTATGTATGTATTAAAACTTGGAAAAATTATAGATAAAAGGCAGAAAAAACTTTAAATTATTGTCTTAGAAAATTATATGAACAATATATGTTTCATAATATTAAAAAAAAATTAAGTTTCTTTTTTATAAAGATGGTTGTTACACACTTGCGAGAAGCTAAGACAAGGTCTGGGACTACAAGAGGTCTACAACCTCCTAAATTTTAGTTGTTTTATATAACACAACTTTCTTTAATTGAAATTTCTTATGAATAAGAAAACATGAAAATGTAACTATTTCGTTTCATCAATTATAGTTGTCAAACTAATTATATTTCTTTACAATTTTATAGTTGTAGATATATAACAGTTAAGTAAGCAAATGTTTTTAAAATTTTGCTACGACTTAAAAGCATCATTGTTTACTATCGTTTACATCACAGTTACGACTTAAAAGCGTCACAGTATTCTAATTATAAATTTGAATGGTATAGATATCATAGGGTATATATCGTTTTAAATCAATTATTTAAATTTAAATTTTCCCCTTCTTTGAATATTTGGAAAAAAATCCCCCATAAAAAGCCATAAATATTAGTGGGTCTGTGGTATATTTTTAGAAAATGATTAATTCTTAACACTCACCCTTGCGAAGCCTTTTCTTCATAATATCATTTATGGAAGAAATACGCAATGGAACATTTACAAAATATGTAAAGCAAAATCATTATTCACAAACTAATTACATGTATTACTTAAATGTATTAAACTCCTTCAAGAAACTTGGCCCTTTAAACAGCAATCAGGGCATTTCCGAGTCCTTAATTATTGCATCCCATAAATTTTAACAATTTATTAATGTAATTAATACCATAATCACCGAAACGAAGACATTGTTCCAAAATGAGAGTTTATGAGAAAATGCTTCTCTTTCTAAGTCTAAAATCATATTTTATCTTTCATAGACACGTTGCAGAGTGACTACAACACGCTGCTAACAGATGCCCACATTCACACATTAGTGAACGGTTCCCTATCGATTCGAAACGTTGAAAAGACCGACGAAGGATTTTATATGTGCCAAGCATCCAATGGTATCGGATCTGGAATAAGCACGGTCATTACTTTAAACGTGCGCGGTAAGATTTTGTTTTGTTTTCAAGATACGTACTCCAGTGAGAAAATGTGCAGTTGTTGTTTGTTTGTATCATTAAATCTGTATTTATTTTTGTGGTTTAAGACATGAAGAATACATTTTAGTGAAATTCTGCGCTTCAATAGATACTCAGTGTCACTACTAAAGTGTAAAATTGAAATGGAAGTGATTAAAACTTTATTCCTTTTTTCCTAAATTGATGTACCAAATCCTTAAAAATTTGTGACATAGTAATATGACCTAGGTTGTAAAAAATTTTTTATTAAATTACGGTATGAAGTATCGCATTTTAGGTATATCATCCGTAAAATTCATAAAATTCTTATTTTCGTAAAATATTATATATCATAGTTCTTACGTTAATATTTTTTTAATTAGAGTAATTCAATGATTTTGTGGTAATTATTACTACAAAAGCAACTGTATATCATACTTTTTGTTACTCTGAGTGCTTTATCCGTAATTTGATCCGGACATTTTTAGGTAGCAGACATATGATAAATTGATGTTATGCGAAGTATCACAGTTTTTTAAATTTTATTTGTTACAGTTTTGAGAAGTGGAAAACAGGGTTATTCAAATAACAAAACCTGAATTTAAGTCATTATTTGTATTTTATGAAACTGATTATTTATAGCCTACATACAAAAGAAACGAATAAGGTTTATTTAACACTGCTTTGACAATGATAGTTGCGTACAATGTAAAAAATTCCGGATGAAATTACTTTTAACTGTAAAATCCATTTTTACCTATCAAGTTACGAAGCAAAAAAATCTGGCATACGGCATGTTTTGCATAAATAATTACCGTAAAGTCTCCGAATCATTCTAATTTACGGATGATGCACCCGAAGTTCGGGTACTTTATACCGTAATTTAATACGTAATGTTTGCATTGTAAACGGCCGCTTAAGTGGGGGCTGAGAAAATGCTGCGATTATTTCGTATGAGGAATATGTTAGGCTCCTAATTAAATGTTTGTCGTGCATAATACTTTGAATATTTTCTTCTCCTTAAGAGCTTTGATTTTTTTTTCATAAGTATGTAGATTGATTACGCTCAATCTATATTTTTGAATTATGATTTTTTTAAATGACCCTAAATTATTATGAGAAGTTATAAACATAAAAAGAGATTTCTTATAAATATATCGATAAAAATGAATTAAAATATGAGTCTATATACATTTAATTGAAGTGTGAGAAATTATGGCTACAGTACTTATTAATAATTTAAATGTATATTGAATTACCAAATTTATTCTCATGTTTAATGAAGATTTATAAAATATATTCAGTTTTGTTTAAAAATATCTTATAAATTATACTCTTGTTAATACGGTTTTGTATTTTGTATAGTATTATCGTACATATTTACTGTATTTTTTACTAGAAGGACTTTTTAAATGCCCTAGGAGTCTCCGCTTCTAACTGATTCCACTCACCAACTTCTATGATTGCTTCTCATTCATCATTATTTTTTTTCCTTAAACGTCAATACTCCCCCCCCCCCTCCTAAAGACACGTTTTGCTTACAATGTATGCAATTAATGTAGCTTTATGTAAGAACATTTTGTTGATATGTTAACCCCTTTCTTCTCGCTCCCGTGAAATTTCCGGGCTGGAGTGTTCGGTAGTAACGCGCCAATAAGAATAAAATAATTTATATCTATTGCCCACAAAACATTTTATTTCTCATTTTGCACCCCAGATGACAGTACCAGGATATTTTTAAGGTAATTGTAGATAGATAGTTTATTTTATACTAGATGCCAGCACTAATCAAATATGTGCATTTGGAAAAATAGACACTTTTATGACAGTTTTCTTGAAAATTAACCAGTCGTTAAGAGGTTAATCCCAACGAAATCGACGATTTCTTAGTTATGAAAAATAAGCATCTATACTGGAAATTAATTAACCAAAAGGAATACGGGTCTTATAACCCAATAAGAAGAAATAAATGTGAAGTAATTCTACTCTATGCTTCTCTTTCTAATTTTACTTTTGTTCGAGACTTATATCAATTCAAATAAGTAAGCTTAATGGAATGGTTTTTATGACTATTTATTAAGTTATTTTATTTACAAAAATTTCATAATAAATTTCATAATAAGTATGAAGATTTTCAGCTGGCAGTATATAATCTTTCTTTCTTTTTTTCGCCTTTAATTGACTTTTTATTGACGAGCTTATAAAATAGACAAATAAAAATTCGTACAAGAAATATATATATATTTTGACAATAGATAAATATTCTAAAGCAAAAAAGCTAAAAAAATATGAAAAATGCTTAAAATTACAACAGCTTTCGAACAAATTGAAATTTCGAAGCAAAATTTCAATTAAGTTTGCAAAAAAAATATCTTTCAGCACTTTGAATTTTAACAACATAGTTGCATTTCAGATTGGTCATGGTATTTTCTTTCATGATCAGATCGGTCATTGTATTTTCTATGTTTTCTATTAAGTCGTACTATCTGTAATTTAGTAAACATATCCTCGTCGCTCTAAGTTTCTAAATGTTATAGACTTTTTGAGCAGCAAAACAGAATGCAATGCAAAAAAAAGCGAAAAAAGACATTTTAATTTACAATAACTTTCAAACAAGTTAGAATTTTGAAGGAAAAAAAATCTATGCGTTAAATCTATGTGCAGCAAAACAGATTGTTAAATTGTGCGCTAGAAACAGGGTTGGTAGTAATTTCGATTTTTTAATGTAAACAGACTATATACGAAAAAAAATTTTGAGAAAAAAATATTTTTGTTTCATAAATATTTTAAAATAATAAAACGTGGTTAAATACAGATATTTTCTAAGTAACTATAATACGATTTCAACATTTTTTCGATTTATTGAACGACAAAAATATCAGTAAATTTACCTCCCACCTTAATTTTATCATCTCTTTTTAGAGGCAAACATATCGCGGTTTATAGATGTCATATTTAATAAACATATTTTGAAAAATGTTTGTTGAATATTATAAAAAAGAAATTTAGGAAAGAATAAATTTAGTTTTCAAAATTATTTTGTTAACCCAAGTAATTTCACCAAAGCTTGAGAAAATCACGAAAACCAACTCTAAGCAAACTGCCGAGATCGAAAAATGTATAATTTTCTACAAAATTTAAACAAATGTTCTTTAATTCCTTCAGACATATAAAACCTCGTTAGCAATCTTGAAAACCTTTTTTTTTTCAGTTTTTAAATTTCTGCAAAATATTTTCAAAATATTTAGAATGTAACATTTTCGCTTTCAATGTTGTTGCGTTTTTGTTTTGATTGAAATAAATGTCTCAACTGAGAACAAAGAATGAATATAAATATGTTTTGGAAGGAAAATCGAAACTTTTTAATACGCTCGAGTAATTACTTAATATTTCTAGATGGTTGGTACAGAATTAACAATTTTTAAATTTTTTAATTAAAATTTATATTTTACTGCAAATTAAGAACTCGTCTAAAATAAAATAAAAAAAATAAATATTATTTAATGTTAGAAAAATGTCCCTCTGACAAAAATACTTAACAGATATTATAATAGATATTATAATAGTTTTAGGTGCAGTGTAACAGAAAAAAGTTGTAACACGTTACAAAAGAATTAGATAAAAATACATTTTCAAAAAGTCTAGGAAAACTTCATTTACTTTTAAAAACGCAGAAATGACCATTTTTCCAAAGAAAAAAAACATAAAATTGTTCCAAAAATGCTTTTGATAAGTTTTAAATTACTTTGATAAATTCAAAATGCCTCTGTAAGTTTTGGCAGATTAGCGGGACAGTGTGAAGTAAACTTGATTGCTACACGGAAAAAAAATTCTGTTAAAATTACCGTATTGTATGATAAGAATATTGATGGCAAAATAGCAACGACATAATTCTGGTTTTTTAAAACCATGGTATATGTTGTAACATTCATATGATAACGGTTTATCAGATATTTTTGATTTCAAATTTACAGTTCTTTTTACCAGACATCTAGTAAGAAAAATATAACTGAAAAATCAATTACCATCAAAACCATGTTTAGCCTATTACATGGATTTCATGACAGGCTCTAAGGTATCACGTTAAAATTTATCACACATTATACAATATGCGCATATTATGTTTGATCACATATTATAAAACCATGTTTCATAGTCAAATTTGTAAAAATCATTACAAAGGCGCTTAATTATAACCGAATATTTTGGTATTTATATAATTGGTATTTATAACAAGTTTAATTTTAATTCTTTAATTTTTGTTTTTGTTCAATGTACAAAGTAAAAGAAAAGCAAAAGTTCTTAACAGTAGAAAAGTAATTTTATACTTTTTAATAATACTTTTTCATAACTTTTTCAGTATTTTTGTTTAATTTTCAACTATTTCGTAAGACTTTAATTCAATTATAATGTAAGATATTAAAATATATTTATAAGCTTTTAAATTAATATATTATAAGATATTAAATTAATATATTATATTGTGGTTATTGCCTATTTTAAAGTTCGCTAATAAATGTAATTTGTTTAATTTACCGATGAAGGTCCTATGTAGACAGATAAATCTACAGGGATTGTGCAGATACAATTTAAAGCTGTTTGTGGACATGTTAATATTAAACTTTTGCTGTTAATAAAATATATTGATAATAAACACATCGCCTAGCAAGATATTTATTTCTTTAACTAGAATATTCCAGCAATCAAACTAAACTAAATGTTTATTTGCAAATTTTTAATTATTTTAAGACTTAAATTTTTAAATTCGACTAATTTTCGTCCAAAATTATATATATATATAATTCCCTCGATTATTGTAAGATCTCCAATTTTCTCATAAACAAAACATCCCCAATCTGTGACTGAACAACATGCTTGGCGGTTGGTAATATACATTAAATTGGCATACGTTGATTAACTAAATGACGAACATATTGCCCTCATTTGTTTTCAAACAACTCAAATTTTGACTCCTCAGTAAACAAAGCGGTTGGCCAGTAATTTAAAAATAAGTTACCATGTTCAGTCAATTGCAGTTTTTTACTATGTTTATTTCTTTTACAAAAATTTTCTAGCAGCTGCACAATATTTTAAACCATAGTAACGAAGTCGATGTTGTACAGTAGTAACTGTTGTAGTTTTTTGTTTAGTAACATTCAATTCCTAGAGGATTTCTGCAGCTTAACGAGTTCTCCTGACGCTTACTTTGAATGCAGATGAACTTATCCTCACGTTTGGATGTCCTTCTGCGCTTTCCTGATCACTGAAGGGCTCTTATTTTGGTTAGTTTCTTTCTTCCTATTCAAAGTTCTAACAACAGTAGTCTCGAAAACGTTGAATTTAGAGACAATTTATCTACTTGAATAGCCTTTTCTATGAAGTACAACAAAAACTGCACTTGCTTTGTTTCTTATTTCTATATACCAGCTTTTTTTTGCAAATTAACGCTTATACAAATATTAAATGTATATGAATTTCATTTAAGTTTCTAATAAACTAATAATTAAATAAATTTGGTAAATAAATTACTTTTTTTAAAATAGTTATTTGCCAGAGCACTTTTGTTTAAGTAATCAAATTCAAAATAAATACATAATGAAAAATTTTTATAGTTATAAGGGAAACAGTGTTGTACGAAGTTTGGTAATATTTGTGCTTGATAAATTTTACGTATACGTCAGTAATATTTTAATGTTTTTGAATGAATCCAAATGAGTCGAAGCTTTTTACCGGAACTTCTATTTATATCAGCAATTGTNCATTCATATTGTAACCATATATATATATATATATATACTTAGGATATTAGTTCATAAGAAATAAAAATAATTAATTTAATTTATCTACGATTTTTATTTCGTTTAAATTATATGTTGTTGTTCACTTTGGAATTGAAAAGCATGTTGTACAGGGTACAAAATAAAAAAACTACCACGCATATTCACTTTCGATTCTAATGATTGGATTTTCACGTTTTCGGAGTCTATCTTAAAGGTTTGCGTGGGTGACAGCTAAGTGCAGATTATATTTGAAGTTACTAACTCAGACACAAAAACGTATTTTCTCTAAATAAACTTACATTTTTTCGACTGAAACGAATTTCTGATCCTTTAAATATAGGGTGCTGTCTCAATCTGCAAAAAATGGTGCCCATAAATTGGTCTGGAGATCGGTCCAAAGTTTTCTACTCCTTAATGTCTATTTTATTTTTTGCTCATTTCTCCTATCTCGAGAAATTTAATAAATAAATTGAAAATTTTTGCACTTAACTATATAATTCAATTATCCTGAAATAATTCCATGTAAAATATAACTTTTGCTAAATATTAACTGTTCTTTTATTATTTTATTTAATTATGGTCGAATAAAATTTTGAATCGCAATGTATAAAAATTCTTACATCTTTTTAAAATATGTACTTTTGCATGGCTAAATAATATTTTAATGGATTAATGAATTTCATAGTTGTGTACAAAAAACTTTTAATTTGCTTAGGAAGTACTCGAGATATTGCGAAATACGCAAAAAATAAAATTAGCATTAAGGGGTCTAAAATTAGAATCACTCTCCTGACCAAATTATAAGAACCCTATTTCCCTGATTGTCTCTAACTCCTAATTGGGCAAATGTTGGAAAAGGAAGAAGGTCATTGGTTTTGGGTGTCAGAAATCTGAATCCGTAGAAAAGAAGGTATATTTATTCAGAGAATTTACGTTTTTGTGTCTGATTTCGTAACTTAAAATATTGTCTGCACTAATTAATTAGCATATCTAAGGTCACCATTTTGAATCATTGAGATTGAGTAATAGAGCGTGAAGATCGGTCAATAGATCAAAAGTTATTCCTGGCAATTGGTTTTCAAATTTTTATTTTGCTCTCTGCACATTGTTAAATAACAAATAACTTCAAATATTTTCGATATCATTCGTTGTAAGGAGATATTTTTTAATATGTTATAGGATTTTAAATACAAGAAACTTTATATTCTATTAGTATATGTTAGTCAAATGTATCGTCATATTAGTTTTATGATTTATTGGTTTTATTATTTGATAGTTTCGACACACATATCATGAATTCGGAAGCTATGAACTTAGTCAATCATATCTAACTTTAAGATATGCACGTTTTTTTTTTAAATCAAGCTGTGTTTCAAGCTGTATAAAAATAAAACCGAACCTGAATAAATTTTTATTAATCTTTCTCATTTCTGAAGAAATATTCATAAAAATATAGTTTCCATTTTTTTTCCCTTTAAAATGAAATAGCACCCGCGTTTTCAAACTAGGTGAGCAAATTTTTTTAAATAATTTAAATATTTGTAAAAAAAATTATTTTTTTTTAAAAAATGCTATCGAAAATATGTTTGTTTCATTCATTGCCATTCTTCAATGAATATCTTTATAGATTAGATGAACAGAATTTTTTTTCTATGCTTGTAATCATTTATAATGTGGCCTTTCTTAGTCTAATTCACTGAAATATATTTAACTTGTTTTATAGCATAAAATTATGAATTCATGATTATTTCGTCATACATAAGGTAAGCATTAGGTATGCTTCAAGGCAACAATCTACAACAATTAGTTGCACTTTGTAGAATTTAGAAATTTTATTTTCACGATATTGAATTCACAATAAATTTTATTACTTTTGGGTTATGTGAAATACAATGTTCTGATTTTATACCTAGCTATAACTGCCAAAGTTAAAAATAAAGATGTGAAAAGTGTCCTAAGGTTTGATAGTACATTGAAATACTATGTATCTATATATTTTGTACTTGTTAATTAAGTTATCAATTTCTTTTATTGCTGGTAACATTGCATTCTCATTTCTTTCACGCTGCAAATTTTCAGAAAATGTACCTAAACTGTAAAATATCCCGGGTCAAATTATGGTATAATATACCTTCACTTTGGGTGCCTCATCCGTAAAATCAATACATTTTACCGAGAAATCCATTTTTATCATTTTTTGTTTCGTAATATGCTCCAGTAAAATTGAATTCTATGGTAAAAAATACCGGTACTCTGAGTGCTGATATTATTACCGTGATCAGATGAGTATTTTAATCAGTTTTATATGTATTTTAACCAGTTTTTTAGTTATTCAGTTCTCATAAGTGTTGATTGTTATTTTGCTGTTTTTTCATTGGACTAGAAAAAAATCAGCATTAAGGAACAGCTGTAAATTTATAACTTTAGTTACTTTTATATTTTTATATTTTCTTTTAAATGTCAATTACTCAAGAGTTTAAAAGTACATAACTTGTCCGAAATTTAAATAAAGTATTTTCTTTCTAAATAAAAATACAGCGGATAAAAATACGTGTTTTACGCGTTAAAAGAGTAGTTGCAGTGGACAAAAATGCGCGTTAAATGGAAAATACTGTTTTTATCTTCTCATACTTATTTATATTGGATTATATTTTAAAAGCTATATTTATTTTATAATATAATTAGCTTAATTATATTTTATTTTCCATAATGGTTTTAACCTTTCAGCGTTATATGAGATTAAATATCTTCTTACAACTTAATGATTTAAAATACAGGGATGAATAGGAAATAGCTACAAAATTAATGATAACATTGTTTCATATATTATTTAAAGTATCTGAATAAGTAATTTGATAAAATTAAATTTGAAAATGAAACTAATGCATTTTTTAAGGAATAATTTAATATTTATATTAATTTAAAAAAAAATTTCTGAGATACAACGATATCTATGAATACTGTAACATACTTTTATCGCAATTAATTTTTTTAGTTTTCATAAATTTTATCAAAGACCCTCTCCTTATATTTTCCCATTTATTCAAATGTTTTTGCTAATGTATTCAATTGTTTTGTAAATAAAAGAGTCGAAATTAAAATAAAGCACTGCACTTTATTTTCATTATGTATTCAGAAAAATATTTCGTCTCTAGAGGCTGATTGTTGTTCGGGTAATTAAATAAACTTTTATTCAATTGGGATTTACTTTTCAATAGAAACTTCCCAGTTTTTACTTTTTCTTTCAATGATTTAATAACATCGAAATTTTGAGACGGAAAATTGATTAAAAATATTTTTGGGAACAAAAGAATGTGCTTCTTTGTTTCAGTTCCGGCCCATTTTAAGGAGGAGTTCTTAGCAGAAACTGTTAGGCGCGGTGAAAAAGTCGTTGTAAAGTGTCAAGCATTTGGTGATAGGCCGATATCAGTTACATGGAAAAAGGACGGACAATTGTTAGACAAGCAAGCAGAAAAAAAGTAAGTTATTTCTTTTTTATCTACTCTAAAATAAGATTTTATCCAGTTTACGGTATTTTATAAAGGGACATACTATACTTTTAGAAGTATATATGTTTTTATATTCTTTAGTTAAATGCTTAGCTGCAGAATTTAATTAAAATTCGTAATTGTATTTCCTTATTAAGTACATTTAAAATAAGAGTTTTTAAAGTAAAAATAAATAAATAAATAGATGATAACTTTTTTTTTAATTCTTAAACTTTATTTCTTTATATTTCACAACTAATTCTGATGTCTTATTCCGTGCAGTAATTTAACTCATTACTTAAGTAGCGTGATCTTACGATTAGGCAAAATATAATTAATATAATAGTTAATATTAATTATATTTAAAGGTGAAAAAATAGGTAAAATTACAGTAATGCTTGGTAATGACATTTCTGTTTAAAAGAAAAGCTTAATTCTGGTTAATAAGGAAAATAGTAACCGGTATTTGAACCCTCTTTCGATAATTTTTTCATTCATATTGTAACCGTCAATCGAGAATTCTGGTTTTCAAAATTATTGTTCTTATCACCATATATTTAGTAAAAAATACAAGACTGAAAAGTAAATTTAGTTGAATAAATAGTTTTGACGTCATGTTCTATGGTGTCATACCAAAATTGCCAAATTTTGTGACATAGTATAACATCATATTTTGTTAATTATACCAAAATGATTACTTAGGGGATACGGTAAAAATTACCAAGATTTTCGGTGTTCACATAGATCCAAAAGTTTTAACAAATGTTACCACATTCAGGCAGTTTTGACCATATTCTGGTAGTATATATATATTTTTTTTAAAGTTTATATTTTTTTGACTGCTGATATTTTAAAATCAGTTCTAAGGCCTCTGTTCTAAATTTATATATATGCTACACACGAGTATCAATTTCATATTCATTTAGTTATTTTGTGTTATAAAACTTAGATAATAATATTTGCTTGTTGTCTTACCTAGATGTATGAATTTTTAATTGAGATTTTCTTTTCTTTTTTTATTGTTATAATGAATATTTTGGCTAAAAAATTAAGTTCGGAGTCAAAATTTAAAATCCTCAACACATATTTGGAAAAAGCAAGGATAACTTTTCATATGCATTTTTTTTAAATTGAAAAAAAAAAGACAATTTAAAATAACTATCAGTGTGAAGTTTCACTTTCATTGATGAGTACCGCACCGATATTCATCTTAAAATTGGATACAATCTAAGATGAATATCGGTGAGTTTAAAACAAACCGAATGTTAAAAAAATTACAGATTGCGTGGTTGAACAATAAATAAATAAAAGAAAGGGCGATTCTTCATCTCACAAAATTTAATCACAATAACACGAAATTTAACTTTTGGCACTCGTATTTTTTATGCGCACACGTGTATTTTCTGTAGCATTTACTTTCGTGAACAGATAAGTTATCTAAGATGAATTTCACATTGATATTCAACTTAGATTCTGGACAATCTAAGATGAATATGAAGGAGTTAATGCTATGTGGACGTGAAGAAGAATAATTTGAAATCAGAATTTGAATAATTTGAAATCAGAATTTAAATTAGAATTTGAATCATTTGAATCATTGCGTTATTCAGAACAAATTGAATGTTAAAAATTTACCGGATTGGGTAACATAATAATAAATTAAAATGGAATGTGGGAAAATAAATAAAACTCTACAACTCTGAAAAATTATCACGACAACGCGTAGTTTACTTTCTCGTTCAACTTTTATTCACACTCGTATTTGTCTTTGTTTTCTTTATGGCATTTTCTATTCTCAGGTACACTATTGATGAAACCATGACCGATGAAGGGGTAACATCAGAAGTTCATATTGTTTCAGCCGACAGAAGAGATTCTTCTTTGTTTACCTGTGTAGCAGAAAACTCATTTGGAAAAGATGAAATGAATATACAAATCATAGTTCAAGGTTAATTTCTATATTTTCTCTTTAAATAGCACTAGACTTATGTTTATTATGTTTGTATAGTTTCGTAAATTTAATAATTTTCTATATTTTGTCCTCTGATAGTTAGCATATCATGTAACATTCTTTTTCGATCACATTTTGTTTTTCAGAATATAAACTTACCTTCAAACTGTTGAAAAAATATTGAAATTGTTGCTACTATCCGAATGATTATAAGCAAACTTTTCAAAAATAAAATGTATAAGCAATATCTATTAGCAAATAAGAACTTGAATTGTATTTTTGACTGCAAAGGCTCTAAACATATTTTCTCTTTGGAAAGATAGCTTTTTTTAGGAAATATAATTTAGTTTATCATTAAAATAAAAATATGTTTTGGGGCATATACAGATATGTTTTGTTCTTTAATTAAGAGATACTTTGAACTAAACATTAAGTTTCAAACGATTACTTTTTTTTATAGATATGCATTTCTTAATTATTTTTTTATATGTCCATATATTTTTTATATTTTTTTATATTTGAATAGTATCGAAAGATAAGATTTCAGTGATTGATTCGGTAAGTTTGTAACACTTTAAATAATTGCTACAGTTGAAATAATTATAAACAACTTTTTTTTTAAATAATAGCCCGAATTTATTATTAACTTCAAACTTGCGTCGCATTACTGTCTTAAAATAGCCTCTAAACATATTTTTTCTTTGAAAAGACATGTTTGTCAAACAAATATAATTTAGTTTATCATGATTAAACAAAAATTTCATGATTAAACAAATAAATTTTATCATAAGTACCAAAATTTATCACATATTTTCAAACCATATTTTATTGTTATTTTTACCAAAAACTTTACTGTAGAGCTTCGGTAAAAATTACAGGGGGTTTCTGTGTTCCTATGGATCCAGAAATACGGTAATTTTTTACCTTACTCTGATAGTTTCTCAGTGAACATTGTATCAAATGTGACCAAGTACAACTTGATTGAATTTTAAAAATTGTTTCTATTAAAAAAAATTACACTTTAAATTATTTTCAGTTACGCTTCTGACATTGTTGTCTAAGCAATTGAGGTGAAATGGACTAGGTATTGTTTCAAAACCAATAGGAAACGAATGTAGGAGGAATTGTTTCAATTATTTTTGTTTAGATGCAGTATAAGAACATTTTTTCATTCCTACCCTGTTGAACTTTGGATGTAATAATCATTGATTTTGAATTTATGGAAAAAAAGAGAAAACAATGTAAAGCACACATTGTTTTATGGTTCACACATATATTGTTATACACATTGTTCTAAATTATGGGGAATAAGTATCACTTGTCACGGATATTTTTGGTTTAGAAGAATCATATGTTAAGAAATCTTTAAGTATTTTTATGTATGCATATAATAGTTTTGGCAAATGACTTTTTCTAGGTCTGTTTATTACAAAAATGATACTAAATTAAAACTGTATCATGATTTGACAGAATATTTGATACAATTTGCGTTATGATATCATTTCCTTGCATATAGTTATTACTTGCTTACAAGTTGACATCAGTTTGAAAAAAAAACCCATATTTTTTGTTATGTGTTGCTAATGCTTAAATTGAATACATGGGACAATATGTTATTTCCAAATAAAAGAATAGAAACTAATATAAGAACCAATTCTATTCAATTCCTAACTCTTTTTAAATTAATAAAATTAATATTTAACTCTAACTTTCCTTTTTAAACAGTGGATCAACATAAAGAGTTATGGACAATAAAATCCATCCAATCATGGCGCATGAAATATTTTAATTAATATTTTTTCTTAAATTGATAAGATTTTTTTTTCCTTTGGATGGTGTAGAAATGCGTCAATGGGGTTCATAAAGGAGAACATATTATTTATTTAATCATGAATTCGAGAAATTATTTCCACCTAAATTTTAAAAATGATCTCTAGGGATTGAATAAATAATTTAAGTCATGAATAACTTACCAGTTAGTTTAATGAAAAACTAACAGTAACAGATTGCCATAATAATGTTTTAAATTTATATTCTGTTCCATTTAATTTGTACTAGTTTCATACTAACCTTTATAAAATTATAAAAAAAGATAAATGCGAGGAAGTTCATTCGGTGTGAATAGCGTTTTTATATTAAATATTTGCTTATCTAGAGCAAACGGAAGCTGCTTAAGAACACTGGAAAAAAATGTTCAATTAAAAAAATTGGTTAAGAACATATACACAGCTAACAAAGATTAATTTCGCGCTAGATAAAGAAATATTTTGCATATCTCGAATTATCATGTATAAGTAATATTTTAGTTTACTGTCTGAAAATATTTTATTCATTTTTCACTGAGAACATGTTGTATGTAAGGTAAAATACATAAAACTTACGTAGAAAGTGCATTAATTCTATACATTCTCTTATAGTCGATATTGAATAGAGGAAACTATTTAATTTGCTTTTATTACTAAATCATTATCAGTATTATAAAAAAGGCATTTATAAAACTAAAATGCTTTAATAAATTACTATAAAACTATGTAAACGTGATATTATTTTAACGTTTGTATGCTCTTTATTACAATTAAGTTAAAAAATATATTTAATAAATGTCAATCCTTTATTTTTTTAGAAAGACCTGATAAACCATTTAAAGTAACGGCCCATGAAAGTACCAGCAGAACAATTTCGATATCTTGGTCCCCTCCTTACTCAGGAAATAGCCCTATTTTATCATACACCATTCAATATAAACCAAGCTCAGGTTTGTTGCAGAATTTTTATTTTATTTTTATCTACCTTTAATTAGTTTTATCTATTTTTTTCGTAATATATTTTAATATAAAGAGCGTCTTAATATTTTAAGATTAAGATTCTATACGACGCGTACATCAAATATGTTTTCATAATCCTTGTTCTGTGAAGAAAAAAAATCCAACTCTGCGCAGTCATTAAAAAAGCTTATTTATCTTATGCTGTCAAATTCTTATTTTTATGCTGAGATTAAAATTCGAAAATATTTCTCAACCGAGAAAAATATGTTTGTCTAGCAACGCAAATTATTTTTGTGGTTTGAAAATATTTTCGAGATACGACGGATAGGTTGAAGAAAATACAAAATATGATTAGTATTTTTCACTGAACCTAAGTGAAATTCATTTATTTGGCTTAGAGTTTCCATTTTGATAAATCTGCGCTATTATTCAGAGTTAGAAGGTGATCGTGCACGTTCATGTAATAACTTTCAAAAAGTTATCTAGGGATTTTGTTAGTTTCGATGCTATTGCAAAAACTGGGATCTTGATCGTTCAAATACATTTAGAGAAAATGAGTTGCCTTTGTATTTAGTTCATATGTTATGGAATACAAAAATAAGAATTTAAAATTTGATAAGCAATTTTTATGGTGAATGCAACTTTAAAAAAACTGTTTAAATTTATTCATCTTTGCAAGTTTAATGAATAAATTGAGGCAATTGAAAAATTTTTTTTAATGCTATGCTCTACAAAAGTAGAATTTTTTAAAAGTTAATAAAATACATGGATTTAAAATTGCATTTAAAAAAATATATAACAATTCTTCGCTATATAAATAATTGCTAAAAATATGAAATATTTTGAGGTTTTACAATTAGGATAGATTAAAAATGTACTTCGTAAAAAAAAACAGTATATAAGTAAAAAATGATTCAAATTGAAAACCGCTAAGCAAACTTAAGTTTTAACGGAATCAAAAAAGAGCAAATTTGATAAATTCACTGCAAAAAATCATAAAGGCAACAAAAAAAATATATTTGAAAAAATTTTGAGTGAGTTTTTAACGATGTTCTATTTTTACTGACGGTGGTTACGATTTGATACCTTCCAAATTTAGATCATAAATATTTAACAAGACCATTGTATGCAGGATTGTTTTGCATCTCTTATACATGGGACTAAGAGCAAGTAAAATGTGCAAATGAGGCAAATGAAAAAAAATTACTTAATTCACTAGTTTATTTAATTCACTTGGCAGCAACAAATACACCGAAGAGCTATTATATTATGACCACCCTGCTAATAGCACGTAGGACCACCTTTAGCCCTCAAAACTGCTAGCACCCGCAGTGGCATTGATTCCACAAGGTGCTGATAGGTAGTCTGAGGTATCTGGTACCAAGTACTCAACAACTGGTCTTGCAATTCCCTCGCATTGCAAGGGGGTAGAGTGGCAACACGAATTTGGTTTTCCAAGTAGGACCACAGATGCTCTATTTGATTAAGGTCAGGTGAATTTGGGGGCCAAGACATGACTTGAGAATCACTGGAATGTTCCTCGAACCAATCCATGACGATTCGACCCTTATGACATGGTGCATTATCCTGTTGGTAAACACCATCCCCCGCAAAAAAAAACTGTTGCCATGAATGGGTGAACCTGGTCTGCAACTATGTTCAAGTAGCTTACAGACGTCAGGGATTGCTCTATGAGGATTATGGGTCCTAATGTGCCCCATGAAAACATTGTTCCTGGGCGAAAAACCATGAAAGCCTGGTCCAGCCCATTGTTATAGATAGAGGGTTTTCATAATGTAATGGCTCTTCGGTGTATATCAAGAAATTAAAATAAATCACAAGAATTAGAAAAGAAAAATTATTACTCACGAGATTCTATTCAAAACCATTGTTGCGGACACAATGAAAAACAAAGTGTAATATTTTAACTAAATCATTGTCAAAAATCTCAAGCAAGTTTACCCATTAAAGCCATCCCCGTATTGTAAAGAACTTCTTTACAGTGAAATTTCAACAGAAGCAAAAATCTCTGAGTGTGAAAAAATACATATTTTGTTACTTTCAAATAATTATCTCATTTTCATTCTGTTATCAACCACCTGTAAATACATATATATAAAGAGGTTATACTTAAACAGGTACTCCCCCCTTTTCCACTTAAACATAATTATTTATCTTGAGTAGGCGTCATCATACTAATTGAATGAAATGCACTCTACGTAATTCAATGAATCACTTGAAATCAATAAATCGAACACTTCGAAGAGCCTATGTTCAAAAAATGGAATATTTCGTTTTTGAACCTGAATTTAAAATCTTAAAAATTAATTTCCGATTCCAAACAGAGGGTGCTATTAACCCAATGAAAATTTTAAGTACTGTGTGCGTATTTTAAATGCTTGACTTTTTCTAACAGTGGGTTTTTCGGTAAATATTATGAAAAAAATGTGTATTCACAACCGGTTTTTTTTTTTTTTTTTTTTTTTTGCATGAGAACAAATTTTTTTTAATGAAAGTTAGGAAAGAAATCTGTACTTGCACCAGATATGGATATTTTAATTCAACACTGTTGCAGACGCGAATCAGAATTCGTACAGTCATTCTTCGTTGGAATTTAAACTTTAGTCAACTCATTAGGAAAAGTGTGGTTTGTCCTCTGAGGCATCTTTGATCTGATGTTTTATTGGGGAGAAAATACTTAAACTTGTTTTATCTAAAAAGCCTTACATATTGAATTCCATATTTAAGTGTAAAAAATGTTCAATAATTTAGTGGGGAACCTTGTGGAAATATCTGGCAAAATAACTTAATAGATAATTATTTTGTATAGTATCAAGCTGACAAGAAAAAACGAATTGTAGTTTTATTTTTACGGTGTTCAAAAAATAAAATAATTGACAGAAAGTATGAGCAAGTGTGAAAAATAATCGATAAATGATTTGAGACAAAGTAATGTTGCACGGTAAGCAAACCTGCGTATCAAAAACTAGATTTAACTGATGATTTTAAAACATTTAAGATTAGACAGTAAAACAGTGAAAAACCATTTTTTCAACAAACAGAAGTCTGGAAAAAAGGGTGTTTTCTTCTGTACACAAAAAATCACACTTTAAACATCTAAAGCTTCTATTCATGAAGAATTGTAATCTCTGCAATGTTTAATAGCTACGAATTACTATTATATGTAACATTTTAACATATATATATATATATATATATATATAAATATATATATA